AATAACATCGGACATGTTGAATCATAAAGTTGTTGAATCTTGCAAACCTCAACTTATCGCGCGCCAGGAAAAACAAAAACGCTATTATGATCGCCAATCTGCAACTTTGCCAAACATCAACAGAGGTGAAATAATTCGTGTACAGAAAGATTCAAAACACTGGGAACCTGCTATAATGGATCAGAAACTCTCAGACCGATCTTATTTAGTGCGCACCGGTGATAACAAGCTTTATCGCAGAAACCGCAGACAACTGCTCAAAACTGGTGAAACTACCTTGCCATCTGTTGTCCCCGATGACACGTGCACTGAATCAACGTTGGATAAGCCACCGCAGCTACAATCTGACCAAACAGATGCGTCAACCACTCCGCGTCAAGAACCAAGACCACAGCGTACAGTGAGACGACCAAAATATCTTTAGGACTTTGTTTGTACATAAACTGTTAATTAATTGATTCAATGTTTCTAGTGAATTTAATAGTTCTTTAATCTTTCAGAAATGGAAAAGTCCTTAAAAAAGGGAGATGTAATGTTATCACATTTGTCTATTGTAAATGATATAAGCACTGCAAGTTTTATGTATGTTGTAAGCGGCCTAGGATATATTTAGATAAAGTATTGAACGCCATATTGTTGGTTAACATCACAATTTCTTCGGAAAAGATGCAGATAGTGATGTATGATGCAGAATACAATGTGCTTCTCTGCAGTAACATAACTGAATTGTTTATTCCGGGCCCTGCAGGAGTTTGCTTGAGACCAGAAACCATGATCATATTTTGGATGGTTCTCCATTATCGGATGTTCTGCTCAGGGCTACCAATTGAAAAAGGTCCAAATCCTCATGCATATAGATCACATTTCAAGGAACTTGCAGAGGTAAAATGGGACATATATTCAAAGAAACTAGAAAGTGGTGTTGCTGGATTTCCAATAATTGATGAAGAGTGTAACTTTAATGAGGTCTTTTTATACACCATGGATATCATGGATGATGAATAACAATTTAACTTAGTTACCTCTGTGTCAACTCTCATGGCTGATGTTGATATCGAAAATATCTCATCAAATGAAGGACCTCGGGGTAGGGGATTGCAATGCACAAATAATGTTTTGCTCACCTGAGCTGAAAGCTCGATTGAGGTTTTCTGATCACATTTTGTCTGTCTGTCTGTCCCTCTGTAAAATTTTCACAATTTTAACTTCTCCAGATCCACTAAGCCAATTTCAACCAAACTTCCCACATCCTTTGGTGAAGGGGATTCATAAAGGGCCACACTCTTTTCTTAGGGGAAATAATTATGATTTAGTCTTCTCAAGAACCACTAGGACCAGGAAAGATTAAACTCATGTGGAAGCACCCTCAAGTAGTGTAGATTCAAGTTTTTTCAAATCATGATCCCCAGGGGTAGGGTTGGGCCACAGTGGGGTATCAAAGTTTAACATTGGAATACACATGAACAATATCAAGAACCATTGGACAAGGAAAGATCAAACTCATGTGGAAGCATCCTCAGGTAATATAGATTCAAGTTTGTTCAAATCATGACCCCCGGGGTAGGGTTGGCGGCCAGCCGGCCACAATGGGGGTTAACGCTTAATATAGGAATACAAGGAAATTTTTTTTTTAAATCTCAAGAACAGCAAAGCCATGATTGGTCATAGTTATATGAAAGCATCCTCAGGTAGTGTAGATTCATGTTTGTTCAAATCATGATCCCTTGGGCAAGGATTCGGCCATAATGCTTAATTCTTCTGGAGAATATCAAATCTGTGTACATGAAAGCATCCTTGGGTAATGTAGATTTAAGTGTTTTCAAGTCATGACCCCCGGGGATAGAGTGGGGCCACAATGGATGATCAAGGTTTAACGCAGGAATACATTGGAAAAATGGTTAAAATTCTTCTCAAGAACTTCAACAACAAACCCATGATTTATCGTCAATATAACAGCATAAAAAAGTAATGTAGACTCAAATTTGTTCAAATCATGAATAGAGGAGTTACTAAATACCGGTAGGATCATAGTTAAACAAAAGAATATTAAGGCTACCAGTGTATCAATAAAAATTTTTATACCCCCCGCAAACGAAGTTTGGGGGGGTATATAGGAATTTCCTTGTCCGTCTGTCTGTCCGTCCGTCTGTCTGTGCAAACATGTCCGGTCCATATCTTTCTTACGGAGGAACATTAGAATCTACTACTCCACACAAAGATTGCCTATGACCCAAGGGTGTTTCATGACCTTGACCCAAGAGGAGTTTGCTGTGTACGTAGAAGGGTGTGAACTGCAAGGCTGCGAAAATTTCTTCCAGGCATTCGTTCTTTACATTGCGTCAATTTATGTGTTCAATTTAGTATATCCTGGAAAATGGGTGAAATCCCTTAGATTTACTCAAAATGTACTGATTGGGCTGAAGGACCAACAGGGCAAAACTTAATTTGGATAACAGAATTGTCAGTGGTTTAGCTTCACTTAATTTTCTATTGTAAGATGAGCTGGAAGTCCAAACTCCTCCTGTATGCGTCCATTGTTTTACCCTGATGTCCTGATTCATAAGCATGATAATATCTTGAAATATCTTTTTTGTCTTCCTGAGTTTTGAATAACAAATTTTAAAGTGGTATATGAATATGCATGGTTAATATGAGCATCAACAGTCAGATAAACATATTTCATTTCAAATATATTTTTTTTATTCAATCTGTATATTTTAAAAAATAAACTTAAATAGGTATGTGTTGAAATCATGATTTTTATACACATGTTTAAATACAGATATTTAGAAAAATCAGAATTCACATTCAGTTGTGTTGATGTCTTCATGAGGTTTTCATTTTATTGTCATGTTTTCATGCATTTTCAAAAATGAATTATTTCATTGTATTTATTCCCCATTTTATTACATAACTTTCATATCATATTGTGCACTGTTTTGTATAGAGAAGGGATCTGGGATAGGGGAACTTATTTTGTATAAATTTCAAAAAATTTAATCTCCTTTTTTTGTTGGGGGGGGGGGGGGAGGTGTTATTGTAATAATGTTATTGATCCATTCGTAACTAGATACATGTATAAGGGCTATTAAATCAACGTTATACTGTATACTGGTATTTATTTTTTTTTTTGGGGGGGGGGGGGTGGCCTCTTTTTTAATGTTTGAATTAACCTTTGTTTGGCAAATATTATGTTTATTCATAAATAAATGACCGTTCACGGTAGCTCAGTCGGTAGAGCGCTCGCTCTGTGATCGTGAGGTCTCGAGTTCGAATCTCGGCTGCGACTGACCTAAGTCGATAAAAAATGGATAGCAACTGTTCCTTCGCCATGCGCTCGGCACTTTGAAGTGAAAGTTTCGGGTCCTTCGGATGAGGCCTTAAAAAGCGAGGTACCGTGTCACGGCAGGCGTTGGCACGATAAAGATCCCTCACTGCTCAATGGCCCTGAGTGCCGAGTAAAGGTCAAAATTTGAAGCCCTTCACCGGTATATGGTGACGTCTCTATATGAGCAATCTGATTAAAATCAGATCTTTGTTACGCTCCGAAATTCTGATGGTCGCTGTACAAAGATCTGAAGACATCCCATTGAGGGTCACCTCAGAATGAACTTTGTATAAAGTTCACGACCTTATACTAGCCAATGAAAATTTAACTCTTCCGCCAATCAATGATCGGGATATATAAGGGGTATGGTCATAGCGTAAACATGGCGAAATAAGAACGAAGTGAGTGAAGTGCAGATCGGTTCTTTGTATGAAATGAATAACGCGTTAATTATGTTTCATGTGCAAGCAGAAATGCAGAATTCTGCTTCCGATTGGTTATGGGATGTCACTCTCTCAGCTGTTGCAAGTCTATGGCGTGTTGTCCCGTTGTGACACTCAAGACGGAGCACCAGACAGGTGACAGGTCAACAAAATATTTTATCGTGGTAATGATAATGGTCAATCTAGAAAATCTTACACGAAATTTTTTAAATAACATATATTGATCCACGGGCTTTACCTGAATTTTAGGGATTGTCCGATGTCAAAGGCAGTCATAAGTGTAAAGAACATATATTGCATTTTAAAAATAAAGTGACTGTTGACACAAGTTGCATTTAGACTAGCATTTTCATAAAAAACAAGGTATCTTACACACAATAAATGTAGCATTAAAAAGAAAAATGTTATGTTTCTGATTCAATTTCATTAATTATGATACTTGATTTGTAGTTCAATCTTATTTTTATAGTTCTTCTCACATGTATTCATTCTTTTTCTGGTGTGTATACATTACCACCATAATCCTTTTTTTGCACCACTGTTCCATACGGCCTGTCAGTCAATAAAAATTGTAGACCCCCTCCCTAAAATTCTACCCCCCCCCCCCCGGCACATCAAATCATTTTTTGAACTTTCATTGTTTACCATACACAACATGTCAGAGCTTTCTAATTAAAATTTACATACTTTGTTCAAAATTCTTTAAGATTTCCTGCAACACTGCTCCATCAAACAAATCCTTTCCACGTGTTACTTTCTAAAATAATCCCAAGAATTTATCCCTTCCTGCAGCTTAAATTATTCACCTCTGTTTCTATTAATATCTACAGCTAAACATACATGGCATAAAAGACACTTAAGATTGTTATACTTATTTCTGATTACAAATAAAAATAGTTGTTGCCATTGTTGAAAATAATATTTGTAGCAACCATTTCAACCCCTGTCATTTACTTGTTTTTCATTGTTTCAGGGAGCAGTGAATATGATGACAGACCCTGCCAGGCTCTGGTTTTTCAAACAAAACCCATTAATATTCAAACCCGTTTCTGGACTCGGACATTATTCCTGTGTTCTCACATACCCAGGAGGACAATGAACAAGAAAGTTGTTAAACTTGTATTGTGCATGTTTTTCCCCCATTTTAAGCTTGGTGGACTGTCAAGAGAACTATTGTCATACCAATCAAAGTGTATCTATAGACAATAGTAAAAAGTTAGACAGTAGTAAAAAGTTAAAGTTGTTTATTTTCATGAAACTCCAATTTGTACTAAAACAGACTTGCATCAATGAACATTCATTGTTTAGAATACATTCTACAATCATCACACGTGTCAAATGGGAACTGGAGAGACAAGTATGCAATAAAAGAAAGTATTCAATTCGCATTTTTTTTTGAAATATATAATTGTAATAAAAAGTTCTATGAATTATGTTTATCATTACTTATTTAATATTATAAAATTCAGGACCATAATGGCTGCTGACACCGGTGTGATGATTTTTTTTTCATGTAAATCAGAGACAGCTAATGAAAACACATTCAAAATTTCAGGACAATGAGGGCATACATATTTTTTACTGCTGCAAAGTGAAGATCATTATATCTTTATGTTCCTTTTTTTTCATAGGAAGAAATGCTGTCTTTTCTGACTCAGCTTTTCTACTTTCTTCTTGAACCAGATGTAGACCACTGATACAGGAAATAGAGGATACTGTGTTTTCATTTCCCACACAATGGCAATGTATACAGTATTTTGGAGATTAGAGGTTAACATGGCAGACTTTTCTCAACAAAAATAATGCACAGTGTCAGTCACCTAAAAAATATATACATTCTACTTTATTTCAAGGAACATTCAGCATGTACAATGTATTTAAATTTGCAGGTTAATATAGTAACATAACCTTACACTCAGTTAGCATGATACTTAAACAAAAAGTGTGGGTGTGATACAAATGCCCCACCAGGATCCATGTTTTAAATACTTAAATGTGCCTCAAGGATGTGAAAATAATGAAAGGAGATAAGACAAAAGTAGAATATATCATTTTGCTGCTCTTATTTTCTTGGGTCATTTCCTGACTTATAATTTACAAGGACATCATAAAACTATCATGACAGAATAGTGGTAACATAGTCACTGTGGGGGCTAAGAGAATACAAATTTACTTAATATCTTGTCAATGAGTCAGATAAAAGTAAGGCCATTTTTAAGTGTGTGTGTGTTTGTTTTAACTCCACAAAACAGGGAAAAAACAAAATCAGGATTTCTGAAATTGATTCTTTTGGTTAGAATGGCCTAATTAAGGAAGAGATTGCAAGGGTCCATGAAAAAAATCCGCTCTATGAATTTTTCTCATTTTTACATATAATTTGCCTTACGTTAATGGTATCATAATATGAAAATGTCAACCAAGTTCATCAGGGTTATAAGGAAGATATGGTTGCCATGGTAACCACCGTTTTTCAATATTTTGATATTTATGTAGTGGAATTTTAAGTATGCCATACAGGTATCAAAATTGAAACAAATTAAATAATTTTCACCAGATATTAAATAATATGCTTTATATTCATTGAAAATAAAAATTGTATCGGAAACTATTGATAGATGTAGTAATGCCACAGTTGCTTTGGGGAGTAGTCATTGTAAATTTGCAGTAATATTTTCACCCCAAGAGCAGTTTTCAACGTCTTGAAAAAAAAATGCCCAATGAATTTTCCTAAAATTAATATATTTTGTAACAATTATTATAAGTGACTTATGGTTAAAATATGAAGTGGGGTCATCACATTCTTTTTTAAGCTATATGCATTTCAATACCCCCCCCCCCTTCCTAAAATATTAAAAGATTTTATAAATTTTAATCTGATGGTTTGTTGCTGAACGTTTAATATGCATAATCTGTTTAAAAAACTATAGAAAATACGTATAGATTAATAAATATTTTTTTCTGAAAATCTTATGGTGGTTGCTCATTTTATACGTAGAGCAGAATGATAAAAGTATCATGTACCACCTGATACGAACAGAAAGTACACAAAAAGCAATATGCATATATATTTTTTTTAATTTTCCCATCTCCAAAATATTCATTCCGTTATCATATCAATATAGTACATTCTAAACCAGTGCACAGTGGTCCAAGGGCCAAATTGTTCATGCTCTGAACAGTCATCGAGTTCTCTGCACTGTGACTTGGAATCGGAAAGGGGGGGGGGTCACTTGAACACATTTAATGAATAGGTTATTTCAGAGAACTTGTACCTGCAATATATACCGTATATAAAAATCCTAGCTATTATCTTATTTGATAGATTTTAGTGATTTGCTATTTAATATTTACATTTGCAAACATTTTTCCTTCAGATTCATTGCAAGTTAGAAAACAATTCATTTTCTCATGAACTAGGTAAGCCTACACATATCTCCATTGTGACGTCATAATGCCACACTTGACGTCAAAACTATAATGCAAACTGTTTTGTTTCAAAAATAATCGCGTATAAATTTGCGCTTATAAACATGCTCACGCGGGTCATGAAATATGCTGAGGTGAAGCGTCTTTGTTCATGTCCTCCTGAATTTAAAAAAAAATAATTTTTTTTTTTCAAATATATTCCCGTGAGCATGATGAGTTAAAATGTTTTGTTTTTTTAAATGTAACGTTATGTGCTCAAAATAATTTCCTCTCTCTGGTATAACTGGTACCTCCGTAGTACCTCGATTGTCAGAATTAACTCTCTTAGTTTCGTCTGTTATTCTTACACGCGTATTTTTTGCTAGATTTGTGAAGAAACTTTTCTTCTCTGTCATCAGAAGTGTGTTAAGTTTCAATTTTTTACCAAATACGACGCATAAAACATTTTACCACAACAAATGCTTCCGCAATATCTGTGCCGACGATTCATTATTTACATGGTCGATGTAAGAGTTGAAAATGCTAGAGAAGATCTTACTGAGGAAAACAATTTCCTCTGCGATATTTTTAAAAATACGTTCATGTCAAGCATGCGACCTCAAACTGGTCTATACACGTATATATGAAAATCGCATACGTTTATCTGTTCATCCATATAGGCTTATATTCATTATTATCACTTAGAAAATCACGCTGTCTGAATTTAAGCTTCTAGGAAATGAATATCTATTCATAGATGTAGATCCTATAGTAAAGAAACCGAACTCAAATAAAATTCTAATATTTTAAATAAAACTAGAGGACATAAAGAGCCAGACATGAATTAAATTTATTCATGAAATAGATTTCAGTGTTCAGAACTACGGCGAAAAGTAGACGTGTCGAAAGAAAAAAAACACACAGGGATGAAAAAAAAATCTGCGTCGACGCTCACCAGCACTCTGCAAAATCACATCTTTATCTTATTCTTTCTCTGTTTTAAAAATATTGCCACGAAGACCTTTTGTCACGGGCGTAATCATAATCACGCTCCTTATTCAGCTGTTATTCCGGAAATGGTTACCGTTAATCTTCTTTTTTTACACATCACATTAGTCGATCACGTGATGCCTTGCAATCGCTTCCTTAATATATCAATTTTTAGCTCGCCTGAGCTGAAAGCTCAAGTGAGCTTTTCTGATCACCCATTGTCCGTCCTCCGTCCGTCTGTCTGTCTGTCCATCCGTCTGTATACTTTTCATATTTTCAACTTCTTCTCAAGAACCACTGGGCCAATTTTAACCAAACTTGGTACAAAGTATCATTGGGTGAAGGGGAGTTTAAATTGTTAAAATAAAGGGCCAATTCCCCTTACAAGGGGAGATAATCAAGAAAAGACAAAAATTGGATGGGGTCATTAAAAAATCTTCTTCTCAAGCACCACTGGGCCAGAAAAACTGAAACTTATGTGGAAGCATCCTGGGATAGTGTAGATTTTAAATTGTTAAAATCATGACCCCCAGGGGTAGGGCGGGGCCACAATAGGGAATCCAAGTTTTACATTGAAATATGTAAGAAAAATCTTTTAAATTCTTCTCAAGAACAACCTGGCCAGAAAAACTGAAACTTGTGTGGATGCATCCTGGGGTAGTGTAGATGCTAAATTGTAAAAATCATGACCCCCGGGGGTAGGGCGGGGCCATAATAGGGAATCCAAGTTTTACATTGAAATATGTAAGGAAAAATCTTTAAAAATCTTCTCAAGATCAACTGGGCCAGAAGAACTGAAACTTATGTGGAAGCATCCTGGGATAGTGTAAATTTTAAATTGTTAAAATCATGACCCCTGGGGGTAAGGCGGGGCCACAATAAGTATTACAAGGGGGGAATCTGGTAAAGAACATGGCTAAAGTTACTCAGGTGAGCGATGTGGCCCATGGGCCTCTTGTTAGATTTTACAAATGATAAGTATGTGTATGTGAAAAATTATTACATTTTATAGTATGTGCACCACAAATCTTCCAATCCTTTCAGAAATTCTTGCAGGCATGGTGAAAACTCAGCTAATGTTTCACCTACAACATTAATAATAACAAACATGAATTAAACAAACAATATGTAAGTTTAAAGTACTTTCAATTTGAATTTGTTAGGATGAGATTAATTAAAGATCGAGAATGGGGTAAGAATTACAAGAACAGAAGTAAAAAAAAAATTAAAACCTTGCATATTTTTTTTTGTCATGAAGTTATATAATTTAGGGATGACTGTTGTGTCATTATAATAGGAAGTACGTGTATTTAATCATCAAGGCAACCGAGGTGATTTAAATGACGTAAATGCAAGCTTTAGAAGCTGTTTAGACAATTGTGTGAACTCTGTAATCGTAACTCATACGAAAAAAAATTCAACATTAAACTTACATTTCCATCGTAGATCTGACACCTGATCTGAAGTTTTCTCGCATTGTTTTTGGAATCATGATCATCTCAAACTTTCGGCAAACTTTCAGAGTCGGAGGGAACAGACACATATTGCACATCTATCAAAATCTTCCGCATGGTCACTTTTCCTCCACTGTTTATATTTCTTTGCATCCATATCGATCAATAAACAACGCAAATGTTGCTCAGATGAAAAATTTCAACAATGTCATGGGCGCCGCCATTGCGTATTTTCGGAACTCGTTTTCTTCGGAATGTTTCGCGTAAAGCACATCCAAAGAATCTGCCAGCGGCGTTTTCATTGGATAATCCAAAGTTCATTCTGAGGTGACCCTCAATGGGATGTCTTCAGATCTTTGTACAGCGACCATCAGAATTTCGGAGCGTAACAAAGATCTGATTTTAATCAGATTGCTATATGAGTGAAAAATTCTCGAATGGGACGTAAAACAACATACAATCAATCAATCAATCATAAATAAATGAAAAATTTTCAGATGTGAATAATGTTATTTTTATCTGCATTAATGTTATTTTTATCTGCATAAAGTTTTTTTTTTTTTTGTCTTTACTTACATATGTTAAATAATCAGTGAAAATTCACGAAAGACAAGAAGTAAACTGAAAAGTAAATTTTACTAGTTTGTGAAAGTAAAACATACTATTCAGTTAGTAAAAATTACTATCCAAAACTTGTGAACAGATAACAATTGAATTGGTAAAATTTACTTTTAAATAGTAGAAGTACAAGAAACCTAGCAAAATTTAGTTAAGTAAATAGTGATTGTATGGACAGTAAATTTTACTATTATTTTTTATTACAATTTTTTTTTCAATGAAGGATTACAACCCCCTCTGCACGTAAAAGATCGATTTTGTTTTCGAAAAAGAGTAGGCTCACCGGGACCGCCAGAGAAACCCAAAATATCTTTCAAACCTGAACATTTCACCGCAAAAATTTGGCTGAAATTTCGCCGACTCGGCGTTAAACAACATCAATCATAAAAACATCAAATTATCTTTCATTGCTTCAGAAGTTGCCATTGTTGCTTGTATCATAGCTGCGGTTTTTTGCTTTGATGTTCACTGTGTTTTTTTTTGATACACCATGACTAACTGTGCTCTAACAACCATGCTCTCTCAAGATAGAACACGCCAGGGTACTGATGCAACAATTCCAACTTTTCATTGATAAAGAAAAAGAATATAAACAAAGTAACTGACTTTATAAGCAAAATACAAACACATATAAACATAGTGAAGGTATACCTTTCCTTAGGTCTACATAAAAAGTTCTAAATTTTGTACGTCAATTTTTAAATCCAAAATAGAATTCACCCAAGCACATTTTAAATGAATGTCTGCGTCTCAGCGTAACAAACCACACACAATGTGGTACAGGGAGTGAGGTGGATATTCCTAGTTTTCTAATTCCAACACAAATCGCTGCATCTAGTTATTTAGAGGATCGCTGTTAATCTTGGTCAAAAGTGGACATTTTCCCGTGCCGCACGCCACTCCTTGATTGGCTTGAACGTTTAAATTAATATATTGCCCATTTAGTATTTTTGCGAGTGTTAGGATTTTTTATTACTCTATCAAACGCTGAATGGATCGGACATATGTACAAACCGTTTATTTTGCGTTTTTGTCTCGACCTCGGGACTGGCGAAATTAACGCACTCATCTCAGTCTTCACCAGGATCATGTCTAAAATAGGTTCAAATTTTACTTCCGGTAGATGAAACATCATTATAATACTTCCCAAAGAATCTTCAACCTGTATCTGGTTTCCTAACTGATCTAAAGAATTTTCCTTCAAAATTTCGGTTTCCGTGTCTAGTCAAGAATTGCGAAAGCATAAAATCACAAACGTCATCCATGGCGTTCAGAATTGAATGGACAGCGCGCTATAGTTTTCGAATCACGTGCTCTTTTTTCATTGGTCACATTAAATGGTATGGTGAAATTTTGATAGATCATTGGTAACTCAGTGCATGAGAATATAGTTGATCACGTGCTATTAAAGTGAAACTGATAGATCATGGGTAACTCAATACCTGAGAACAATGATACAAAACATATAGAGTACCTTTTAACTCGTCTGATATCTGAAGATACACTCGTTAAAAGGTACTCTATATATTACTTGTAGAAGCCTGGTCATCACACTAGTGTCAAATGTATTTACAAGAAATGCCAGCTTTGTCAACGTTCAAATTGAAAAGAAGGTTGCATTTAAAAACACAGATTGCATATCTGTCCTCACAACTACAAACTTAATTGAAAACAGCTGTCTCCGTTTAAGGCAAAATTGTCTTAGTAAGTGCTGTTAATATTTAATGCAGCAATGTCCTATTAAAAATGTATATGTATTCTTAAATGTATATGTATTCTTAAATTATTGTATAATCAATATATGATTTAAATGTGTTATTAATTTAGGCAGGGAAATCCACCAAAAAGAGATTAACAGGAGAGGAAGTGCCATTCAACAGACTGAAACTAAAGGACACTTCTGGAGTTATTATGGTGCCTTGTGAAGAGATTTTGCCGACAGTCTTGTTGTAGAGTGGAGCTATGTAGTTTTACACAACTTTTAACAACACAGATATTTGACCGGAAAACCCAGTCTCAAAAACCAGTCCAAGTCTGCTCTAGAGGTACTTTTCAAATTTAATGCATTTTAATTATTTTCTGTAAGTTAATACAAATATTTTATACATGACAATTAATAACATTCCTTATTGCATCTTACAAAATTCATTTGATACCCAAGTATACTTTTTGCAGGGGGTATCGTTCAATATCCAACTATTTTTGTCAATAAGATTTCACTTTACCAGAGAAGAAGGGAAACTGTGTTATAAATTCGGACCTAGAAGAATCCATTTTGAGGGACCTCTCTTCTGCCAGAATTTCTAGTTCCTCTAGACCTTCCCCATATTTTATGCAGGCATCCTTTATACCCCCATGCCCACACAAAACTTTATGTCCCTCATCAGTCTCCATTCTTTCTCTTTCACTTCTGCACTCCTTTTACTTCTTGCCCTCTGAAAGGGAATTAAGAATAAGATTATATTTTAGATTTAAGCCTATCAGACCGTCTTAGCAACGTTTCTGTTGCCTCCATTGATTCCCTCCCCTGGGAGCATAGTGGGTATTTATACTTGTCAATGCACTCTGCCATTTCTGGTGAGACATATAAACTGGGGAAACGGTTGAAAATGTATCAGCTACGAAAAGGTAAAAGGTAAAAATCGCCGATATCTAAAAATCTAAGCGTGAAAAGAACTTGAAGTAAAAGGGTAAGAGCACAGGATCTTAGGGTCTGACGATGTAGGAATGGAATAAGGACAGATGCCGGCCTGAATCGAAATCGCTGAAAAAACTCAGTCCCGGTCATAATTCCTGTCCACCAGTGAGCTACACGTTGACGATGTGAATCTACTTTTGTCTTGTGATTATATCAATTAATAAGACAAATGGGATATATTTAATTAATTGGAATCTATGAATTTTCAGAATGTTTAACTCCACATTTTTGAGGTTGGGGAGTCCAGAAGTATTGTGAGCAAGTTCTCATCAACTGGACTTACTCTAAATTATCTTGAACCAGCCTTCCTTGATATAGCAGTAATAACTGTTAGGCTGAGCACTCTTTGAAGATTAAAAAGGATAAAGTCATTAAGATTATAAAATCACAGATCTCCAAAAGATAGGACGTGGAGACTAAAAATGATTCAATTGTAAGAATTCTTTTTTTAACCATTTCATAAATAAAAAATGTTTTCCTTGTTTTGAATAGCGAAGAAATAGGTTCGTGTATGTGTGTCTGTCTTTTAGGGTTTGTGTATTAGGGTGTGTATGTGTATTAAGTGTATGGAAAGATATTCAACATTTTACATGCCATTTAATTTGAAGGGAGTAAGAGCTGGTTAAACCCCGATTTTATTTTCGCAAGCCAATTTACATTTCTTTATTTTACGAACTTATAGCACCATTTTCAAATAATTGAGCTGTACTTTTGAGAAGTTTAAGAAGTTTAATATTTATCTATTTGAATTCATAATTAAAAATGTTCAATTTAATCAATTTAAAAAAAAAAAAAATTCTACATAGCAAAAGAAACCTCTAAAATAGTACCATTTTATATTCTAAAATCATGTTTACGGAAAAGGATACCATTCTTGGCTATCTTTTGCATCTCCCTTTAAGAGGTCTATGTGCACTTTTCATCTTTTTGTCTTACAAATCTTTTGTTTTTTTTTAAATAGTTGTGCTTTGTATTTAAAACAATACAAGGCAAATGTTTCAACAATTTTAAGGACGTATGGTAGTAACGATTTTGAATCCACCGCGCAACTCCGAATGACGTAAATGAATCGTATGTCGTTCATCTCTTTAGTAGAGTTGGGAAAAAAATTTACAATGCAACTTATTTTAAAGATATACTTGATATAAAATCATATAAAATGTGACTAAAATTTCATTGGATTCAAACTAAAAACAAGTCGAGGTAATTTTACGACTTATCTTACTTTTCGGTAATGTAAACAAAGCGGATGTTTCGAAAAGAATGAAATGCGGAGAAAACGAGGATTTTCATCAACCAAATCTATTCAGCGGTACAGCAAGGCTTCGTTGACTCAAAAAAAGGCGATGGTGAGCTGCGTCTGACTGAAAATTACTGTGCAAAGATTAAACCCATCATTCGAATCACAAACGCATGACAACTCTAGCCTAGCAAAAACGATCTGCCCAGGTTTGTCTCTAGTATTTGACACCATTTAACTAACATTACCTCAGATTCAGTAAAAGTGATTGTGGCTCAGCAAAATACCGGTATTAGATAAGATATATATATATATATATATATATATATATATATATATATATATATATATATATATATGAGTGAACTGGGTACTTTTTTCTGAATTGGGGGCATGAGTGAACACACAACATTATAAATTAGTGACGATTCATGTTAAAGTTTTTAAAAAAAAACAAAAAAAAAAAACAGAGATTTTGAGATTAAAAATTGTTATATTCTTCCTTAGTTGTTGTTTACAATATAGATTTGAAAAAGGGATAAAGAGCACTACACTATATTATAATAAAAACAATAGCACTGGTTACCAGTGCACACATGAGGGGGTAATTTACATGATATATATACAATTCTGTTTT